TGTCAAATCGACAAACTTTTCACTGAACGACGACATATCATTGTGGAAACAGAAAGAGTACTCTCCAACAGCATTGGCGGTAAAGATATAATCCCCTTGCCTTTCCTTCTCACCCTCAATCACAATCATATCATGTGGGTCAGTGATGGTCCAGTCAATATCGAACGCTCCACCCGATTGAACCGCGAAGTAAAAGCCGACCTAGAGTAAGATAGAATCACCCAATTTTTAGTTAGCCCTACATCACTTGGTAATCAGGATATAGCAGAGGAACATGATGTGTAGGCGATCAACGATCTGAATTCGGCTGACTTTCTCATGTAATTTGTCCACCCAAGCATAGAAGCAAAGTCGTTCACCAATGGCGACGTTAGTTGTAAGCGCCGACGCATCAACTTGTAAAAATAAGACCGAAGAGAGAATGAGGATGGATAGCCAGCCAAAGAAAACGTTGGGAAGCCTGCTCGAAAAACCTCTCCGGCAGTCAAGGCGTATAGAAGGTTGAGATGAGTGAGACGAGGCTATGGACCGATCAACATTCCTGAGATTTTTTTGAAGTGAGTAGCACGCTGACGACTCTCGCAGATGCTGAGAGGGCTGGGTGTGTCGAATTGGGCTTCGAGCTACATGCTTGCCCGTATTGCACGCCATTAAAGTCGTTCCATTCGAGGGTGTTTTACTGTCTTTCATAGTGAATTGAGGCATGATGTATAGAGTTGCAGGTTGGAATGCTCCGTGTGATGTTGAGAAACCACTGTGACTGAGGGATGAGGGGACCTTGACTTTGGACAGAAATCAGATCGGTGGTTTGCTGCCAACTGCTCTATCGCTTGCGGTGGCCAAACAATGACACGTGGAAAATGTGACATCCAACGAAAAACAAATGACACCTCAGCTGAATGCCCTTGGCATTACGTGACAGTCCCAATTTGCTTTGAATGTCAGGGAATCTGCCAACGAGCCGTGTGAAATTTCTGAAGTCTTTTGCTGAAAATTTAAAATTTCAGGACACAGCTGATTAAACCGCACCATCTTTGAATATTCAACGTGGTGCATCTTCGTCACCTATATCATCCTTTTATGTTCACAGTTCAAGCAAGCTGCCCGCAAGAGCTTCCTAGCGGTAGAAACTTTTAAACCACAGTTCGAATTATGCGGTGTCAGAAATCAATAATGGTGAACCATCTATCCAGTACATTGGCAAGGAAAGCTTAACCGAAGCACTTTTTGTGAAGAACATAATCAAGGGATACCTTCCTTCTAGCTGCTGCAACCAAAATCGGACAAAATCAATCAACAATGGCTACACCCCCATCATTCCTACATCTTCCTGTTTCGAAAATTTCCTTTAATCACAGCACCCGATGGCCAGTGACTAGTCCATCTAGATCCCACAGGTGTCTTAGGAATCCTGCCCACATCTGATGAACCTCGTAGTTTCTTGCATCTGTTTCGAAGCTCATAACTATTTACGATCCCGGAATGCCGTGAAGTGTGCAGCCGGTTTTTGTGCATATAGATGCAGAACAGATAATCTTGGCAAATGCAATTTCTTTGAGCATATTTAGTCTCACAAGATGTGACAATATTTGGTTTTTTCAAGGCTTTGCGCTGGAGTGTTTTTCGGTTTTCTTTGACCTACTTATCTTTCTCTGTCTTGCAAGTCAGCTCGTCTCATTTTCATACCTGATAGATCGTGTAATATCATATTTTGAACGAATATGGTGTTATTTCCTCAATGAAGGAATGTACTGGGAACTTAAGTATGCTGATTGATTGTGTAATTGGTTTTGAATGTCAAGAAATAAGATGGATTTTTCTTCTTTTCATTCGTGTTTTGAGTGTGTGTGCTGAATGATTGTTTTGATGTAAACCTGGGTGTCAAATTTCTTTTCCTCATCGGAAAGAAATCTGTATACAACATGTCATTTTTCATCCAGTTATCTCCATGTTTTTTGTAGTCTGACCTTCATTTTTTCTTTTCTCTTTTTATTGGAATCTTATAATCTTGTTGTTCTTTTCGACTGATCTTTTCATATCTGACGGGTAAGTTTCACTTACGGTCGTGGTCGTCAGAATTTCTCGATCCTGATTCTCACGACGCTCCCGTTTTTCCCAGGTTGCCCTTGTGTTTGTATACAAGATCTTATCTTTACCTTTTATCATACACTTGATCAAATACCTTGAGTGATCCTTGGTCAAGGAAAGCCGGAATATACGCAGAACCTTGAGGCTTGACCGACCTGCGCGGCTAAATACCCCATGAATATGACGTATCACTAGTTGGGAAGATTAGGGTGGTATATCTCAAACATCCCATCATGGGTGCTGGTAGCCCGAATTGACACACGAATAAGGCTCCTATCATAAAACGACCTCTTGAATCCCGAGGGTTTTGGGAGCAGTGTGGTACAGCCTACAGGTCTCAAGACAAGTACCAGAGATCAACTCCATACAATGCCCACAGCCATTTATGTAATAAGAGGTCGCAGAGTGCTCATCACCTCCTGCTCAACCTTCGCTCATCAATCTGAAAATATGCGTTCAACTTATCTAAGTTTTATCCATTCATGCCTCCTGGCTTTCATTTATACCGCCGATTCAAATTTGTTGACGACGTATGCTTCCCCCAAGTCCATCTCGCGATCACTTGTCAGCACTCCCTTACGGGGGAAGAAATACAAACGTGAATTGTCTTCAAATGTTGCTGAACTTCCAGGAACGGTGGAAAGTCTTGAAAGATTGACTTTGAAAGGAACGCAATTTTCGGATAAAAATCCGCATATAACTCAAAGTCGTTCTACATCGTCCCCGAGTAGTGTGGGAAGCGCCCCTGCATCGCAAGGTGAGTATCTGACGATCCCCTCTAGAGATCCAAGGGAACATCTCGTAATGATCTTGGACCATCTTCTTGATTTATAGCGATCCTGGATTGGCATCCTACAACTAATTTCCCGGACCCTTCCGAGCATTTCAATGCTATGAATGACCACCTTTGTGTCGGTCTTCACAGCTATGCTTCTGAACGCACTCGACGCCCCACTATTTCAGAACTGTTTGCAACTTCGAAATCACACATAGCTCATGAGGATGCGACTTTGGAGCGTCTCATTCCGGCAACCCTCGAGGTGAAGCTTCAGGATATCATTAATTCCGGTGATAAGGAGTGGTATAAAGATCAAAAAGTCCTCAATTCTTGGAAGAAGATCGGTGTTGAAGCCGAACACAAGGAATTACTTATAGTCGTGGGCGAAGCTGTACAGATCTGGTCTAATGATTTCTTAAAAACAATGGAGAAATGGACACCAGATTTCAGGACGATATGGCCTAGTTTACCCCTCAAGACGGTCCCAGGAGCAACACAACTGACCAAGTCAACACCATTAAAAAACCTTGAAATGCTCTCCCGTGCGCTGTCATCCGTTGACCTCGAGATTAAGGAAAAAGTCTATGCTTGGTATCGTCGGATAATGGGTGGAAAAAACTTTGACAATAGGCTGATGTTCTTGAAGGAGAATCATAACAGAATAGGAGAAGAAATTGCCCAGGCATTGGTCGATAGCTTTTCAGCGTTGTTATACGATAGGGAAAGCATTTCCAGACACCTAGCTTTGCTTGAAGAGGTCTCTGACTTATACCCTGGGATCAGTGCCAAATTTGTGGCGCGAGTGGTAGCGATGCGAGACCAAGCCAAAGCTGAAGACAAATACAGGTTCCGCAAAGCGGTGTTCCACATCGATGATTCTGCCGCCTCACTCGAAACTTATAATTATCTCGAAAAAAATATGAAGAAAGTTGACGACTGGCCTTACTGGTCTTACGACGAAGCAGTTGAAATCCATAACAGGCAGCCTAGTTTTTCAAGATCAATCTATCAGCTGCCGTTAAAGGAACCTTTCTATCAAACGCGGCTTGCCCAAGCGGAGTCTTTTAAAGATGGACTTGTTGGTAAAACAGTTGATTTGATGCGCAAAATCATGCGAGAGGATAAGTCTAAATCTGTCTTACTGGAGCTGCAATGGTTACGTGACATCTTGGAAAGGCTCAATTTAGCTGACAGAAAAGCGATACATGAAGATGCTCAATTCATACTAGCACTAAAAGAACGTGAATATTACGAATCATTCTCGCGGGGTTGCATCGAGGCTGTACAATTCACATCACAGGAGCTAGCGGATATTTTTGTACTTAGGCATAGCTTTACTTCGTCGCAAGCGCTTGAAGCTCTCTTTACTATTCAACATATGAAATCGGCTCCTAGCTCTTATCACGCAGCGGTTCTGAAAGTGCGACAACAGATGAGGTCAAAGCACTACATGGATTTTGATCAAAAGTATGAATGGCTACAAGATTTATCTCAATCAGCGGCGGTCAACATGCTTGCAACAAACTACAAAAACTTCATTTCAATCTCAGAGAAACCTTCCTTTTCATCAATCACGGGCTTGGAACAAAATTTAATATTCCACAACTTTGATTTGATATATGAGAATAACCCGAGGATCAAGAAGAAAATATTGTCGCAAGTCAGAGAAATCGTTGGACCAACAAGTATGACAAAAGTTGCTAAGATTATACGATCGTCCTTGCGTCAGGTTTGGACTCGGGACACTTGGAACATTTTTGTCGACGGAAAATTAGGTTATAGTCAGGAAGATCCCATCTATCACGAGATATATAAGTTAGGCAAAGTCATCCAGTTAGGAAAGGAGTGGCCCTCTTTTTCTGAAAATGGGGCCAAAGAAGCGTATGCAACGTACAAGAACATTCACAATGAAGTAAAGCTCACTGTTCAAAGTATCTTGAATGCGGAATTTAATGAACGTGTAAGGCTGTTGGCTTTCGCCGCTAAAAGAGAAAAAAACTTTTCACCGGATGATGGTTCCAGTACGAGTTTTGATCAACTGACGAGTAGTGATCAGATATCACAATGGTCACGTCAAGGTCTGACGGCCACAGTGATGCTAGAGCTGGTAAAGGCGCTTAGATTGGAAAACAAAAAATCTGCGGCTGGTGAGAGCTGGCGACTTATCGCAGACAGTGAGGTTTTAACATGGCTAAAGTTCTTTGAGACTCCGGAGGGCAAAAATAGTATCGAACTCAAAGAGCTTTCTCGCCTCTTTGAGAAATTATCTTCGACCGAGTTAGAACTCCGGCTTTGGCAGGTACGGGAAAAGATAGTGAGTTCATCTCCAAAATCCTTCGATCGTATTCTGATTGTCTTCAAAACGCTGATGATCTCATTACTTTGGTGCATCCGATAGGAATATCAAATTTCCCAACCTCATACATGAACTGGTAATTATAGCTTTGACAAAAAAGGCATCTTTGTGATTGCTTAACCGAATAATAGTATCAATCACAGGCGTACCAGACAAAAGAAGTGGGGCAAAGTTCACCTCAACGTAGTTTCGAGTTGAGAGTGGGCCCTTTGTTCAAGACTTCGAGTACAGATCTATTTGATGAGCTCCTTGTGGATTTGTGATGGTATACTTTTCTCGAACTCTTAATGTTCTTTTTTTTGACTTGTCCTATTTTTTTCTTTTGCTTGTCTATCTTGGTCAATTTGCATTTTGTGAGCAGATATTTTCTGACTTGATAGCTTCCTTCAGTCATCAAACCTTTCCAGTGATAAAGCCTGTGGAAGTCTGTATAACTGCATCGAATATAACTTGTACAACTCCTAATTCTTACACCTCCTGTTCTCGTTTATTTCTATTCACAGGAAAATAGATAGGCAATTGAACTCTTGTTTTTTTCAAGTATTGATATCTTATAATCTTCTTAAAGCCGCTTCACAAGACTTTCGTACTGGATGATCAAAACTGAGTGTCTAATGAGGATTTATTTCACAGAGATTTCTGTAGGTCTGGTGTGCTTTCGAATTGATGGGATCAAGGGAAACGCAACGAGTTGCTTGGAATGTGGGATCAAAGTTATGTAACTTTGAGATCAACGATCATATAGCCCATTCAAGTCTGGCTCGCAGCTTAGAGGAAAACGCGCTGCGCTGCGAGTTTCTGTCTCACTTTTTGTAGACATCCAATTCTGATGTGCCTCAACATTAGTGGCTCTCTACTCAAACACTGTGGAATCAAAGCTCAACTCTTTGCCTCAAATATGATGAGCCATTTTGAGGGAAAATATAAAGGAGATTATCCATGGCATTTTAAGGTTTGTCTGGTGAATATAACAAAGATAATCGCAGGAGGATTAAAAGCAATGGACTACTTGGAACTACTACATGAATTGGTGAGCTTAATAGGGGGGCTCAGGTCAAAGTTTTTTACTACTTTTACCGTAAAAAACTTTTCCCAATTTCATAAAATTTACGCAAAATTTTATGCAATTGGGAATAGTTATACAACATCCCAAATTGTTTACGCAAATTTGCGTAAATTTACTGCTTAAAAGGAGATCCAAAAGAATTCTTTACGGTCCTTTTTTACAAATTGGGAAAAGCTTTTACAGCACGGTACCGTAAAAAACTTTCCCCAATTTTTTAAGAGAACGCAAATATTTTGACTTGAGCCCCCTTATTACCAGAAATCAAGATATTACATAAACTTAAATCCCTACCCCCCCCTTGAAACCTGTAAACATGAACTCTCGTCATAATTTCAGTGTTTCGGTGGGACAGGACATGTCAGCTTGACACTAGAAGTATGAGTAAAGTTGGTCTAGAATCAAATGACAGATACTTACAAAATGTATTTTATCGAGCTTAGAAGAGATTCCTATCTGCTGAGAGAAATTATTTTTCAGTTCTTTGTAAGTAAAAAAGACTATAATTGGTGGTTATAGCTGTCTATGGTGTGGTACAAAACCCACTGCCAGTATATCAAGAAGTGCACTCACTTAATGATCTGCCGAGGTGAATACGTAGAACGTAAAATGGTCCTGGGTAACGCTTTAGCGTTGATTTGATAAAACAAGCCTTTATCAAAAGATTTCTAGCCGGGATTGAAGGAACTTTAGTCGGATGGTTACTACCAAGCGATCTTTAGCGTCCTAGTTGATACAGATAGAAAAAAGATAAACGAAAAGGGAAAAGGAAATAGGTCCGAACAAAAGAACTAGTATGGAGCGATGAAGAATTCTAAATAAGGTTTCTTGAAAGCACTACTAGGTTATCTTTTCAACGGAAGGAGGAAAAAGAGTTATAATTTGATCTTCTTAACAGTAAAAGATAAAGATTTTTGTTTCTAAATTTGGTTAATTGATAAGAGATCTAGTTTGTTAATTAAGGGTTTCTTGTGGTGCGTCATCAAACATATCTTGGACTAGTCCCTGATGTTGTAACAGGGCTAGCTGAGGGTATGCTTTGATACGCCTGGTTTAGTTAATTGATCCTTGCTGGTTGCGTTCTTTGAAGGTAGGGTTCTTTTAGGTATTTGATCACAAATGTAAAAGGATTTATTTTTTTAGTTTGTTTCTTAAGTTCTTTGTATCTTATAACTGTTTATTTAAAACATTTCATTATATTGCACTCTTGAAACTCGAGTGTAAGAGGTGTCTTGTTTATATACTTGTATATATATATATATATGTATTCTTTAAAATAATATGATAGTGATATGTTTGTTAGTCTATTAGAGTGTTATTTGCGCAGCAAAAACCTCTTCTGGCTGACAGGACAGGAACAGTGACATATCCGCCTTCGGGTCACCAGAGGTCACTGAACTAGAGGTGCACCCACGGAGTATGCTTTGTTTGCAATTCTCATTTTCCAACCTCCAAGCACCTCTATTTATACCTTTCAACTTCCCCCCAAAATAACAGCTTCCACACCACCGCGGCTTGCCACCACTCTGTGAACAATCAACCCATTTCATTTGATTTCATTCAATTTATTGAACTTGATACTTTTCAATACATCTCATCAATCTCAAACAATAGCACTCACCGAGCTATTTCTCAATCCCCTCCACCTGACTTTTGATAAGCTCACCTTATTCCTTATTTTATGACGTCACCCCATACATAATAACTTTTCTTCACATATCGACTTGCCTGATTGTTATTCAACACGTCCATTACTCACTCAATTCATATTCATCTGTTGCTGATTGACATCATTGCTTTTTGAAAGCACCTATTTTTTATCGATCCACCTACATTTCCCATAAACTTCCCCTCCATCGCCGCTTATCTTCAACAATTGACAATATCAAACTGCCTTTCACGCTCAAATCCATTCTTTTCATCAGCAACCTATTGACAATTCTCAAATGCATTTCATATTGCATAACTTTTCCAAATGCTCTACCTTGAATCGTACTTATTTCCAATCACTTTTCAAAAGCCCCATCACCCTTTCCATTCTCAATCGCCGCTATTCAACTGCGCACGCGCTTATTCCACCAGCATGTTTGCTATAATTGACGATTGAAAATGGAATTACGAAACAGATTCAGAATAGAACCGTGGATCTCACTGCTACACCCGCGGTGCCTTCGGCCCGCGGGTCCAACGCTCGTTTCCGCTCCTTCACAAACCCGGGCACTGTGGAGCTCGATTAGCTCCGCGCTGATGCGCGGAAATGAATTAGATCAGAATGAGAAAATGGTATTTGCACGGAATAACGGAATGTTCATTACACAAAATGGAGTCCTGGCGAGGCGGAATCCGCGCAATCAAACCGCGCAAATACAACACAAAAAACGAATGTGACGAAGATGGAATGACTCGGAGCACGGACGAGAGGAAAAGAAAATGAGCAATGCAGTACTGAGAAAAACAATTGTGCTGAAGCGAAAAAAG